AACTCCACCCGAGATAGAGAGCTTTTCGCTTCTGTCAACAGGAGACTGCCACCACACACACGACCTTCCCTTACTGCCAATGCAATATCTATCCGGCCCGATGAAGCATAAAACAGCGAGCAGAAAGGAAAAAATACTGGTCAGTCGTCCTACTTTCAGCGCGATGTAGTGGTGCATTTGAAGGATTGCCAATAGCTATTGAACGATTTGTACTCTACATTACATGATGTCGCACGAGGATGGTGCCCGAAATGGAGAACAGACCCCTGGTAATCAGCCAAATAATGTTACTCCACGCCTTTGGCTCAATAGATTCTGTAGCTATAAAGAATTTAAAAAACCCCTCACACAGGTATCGCACAATATGGTTGTCCGAAAATTCTTTCGAATATTGCCATCGCACTGCCGAAGTGATTGAAAGATGATTTGCTATCGCAGATTTGAATTTAATACCAGTGTAATCTCCAACATAATGAACCGATCTGGACGGCTGGATTTGCAATACCCAGTAACGGCGAAAACAAGCTTTATCAATTGTTAATGATGCCAGAGGTTTCGCCGATCCTTAGCCTCGGAAAATCTGTCCGTTGCCATTTGGCCTAGTTCTGGCCAGTGCGATATATATGTTCAACACGATAAGGAACCGTACGATATTGTCGAGTTGAAGTTTCAAAAGCGCCAAGCCAGCTCATTCCAGACACCGTGACATGGGAAATATTTCTCCAAGAGAAGTTGGTGTACTGTACTCAACCAACAACTCTCTTGACGATTTTTGAGAATGGCAAATTGTGTGTCTGCTGTAAGAGTGTGTACGAATATTCGCTAGAGCTCAACTAGTAAAATATACAACATTAGACTGATTCTAACTGAGGGAGGTTAAGTTCCAAGTTCGTATTGTACCATATTAGGACCATATATTGAACACTCTCACAATACTGAAACGTTGCCAGAGCGATGGGACAAAGAACACAAATACTGTGGAGAGAGAAAATAGCACTTTCCAAATATTCAGAGGTCTGAGAACATTTTTCCTCATTATCCGGAGGACTCAGGCTCTCTCGCAGGGTGCCAAAAGAAATGCCGATACCAAGCAGAGTGGCAACAGGCGCGAGGTAGGCTACACTGTGCCACACCTACCTCAGGACATGGTAAATGTGCCTTTGCGACAGTTTTTACCACCAGTGAGTGCGTTTTTTTTTCCCCTGACACCTCTCGATATTCGGTGCAGGCTGTTGAGTAAAGTGGTTCATCAGAGTTATGTGCTAGCGAGCTTTTCTTTGGTAGTTTTGTGACCCACTCAGAATTCTTTTGCCCAATCACGCCCGATCATGCCGAGTCGACCATGCGGGTCTCAGCTGTATAGTTGCTGGAATTCCTATATGAATTGCGCCTGCAGAGCTCTCTAATCTCATGTGACTACAGAGCACCTGGAAACATTCCTTTCGGGAACATTTTAGTTCAGCAAGTTGATGGTTCAAGTCGCTTTTTCACTTATAACTCAGATCTTTTCAAACGCTAGAGTTCAAAGGGTTTTCCTGTTCCTCAGTTTAGTTTAGTTTTTCTATTTTGAATACCCGCGCATAATACCGTAGTCATCACGAAGTCGGACTAGTGCTTGTAGCTAATGTGTGGCTTGTAGCTCCAGCCCCTGGTTTGATTAACCAAAATTGTTACGGGAACGGGGGGTGAGCTTAATTCAACAACCATTGGCCACTCACTTGACCCAATCTGGGTCTAGTGCCCCGCTAATATTAATCCTGGTTTCGCCAGATTTCCATGGCAATGGGCCGGTAGCAGGTTGTGTAAATCCCCACAATCGAGGTCTCAGTTTCCGAAATTCAATAAAACCAATTAAGTGAAAGAAGGAATTTCTATTACTGTGCTCGCGCTTTGGAGTTGCTGTTGGACACCTCAGGTGGCAATTCCTATACAAAGTGTCTGATAGCAACTCAGCAGCGCAAGTAAATTACACTCCCATTCGCAAAGTCTTCACGGGGAGAGGTACCATGGCAGGTTCTTGGCGATAATGACTGTAAACTCAACATTCAAAAGGATTGTCCCACCCAGCCCCACCAAATGCAACCACTTTCAAATTACGCAATTGACTGCAACCATCCTACCATATTCAAACCACCACAACTTTGTCAAATCTGCTTCAAAATATGAGTTCTTGGTACAGAATTAAGCGCAAGTAGTAGGACCCCTGTTGGGGTATGCAAAGATCTCACTTCCATTGCATGCATAGCCACTGTTGCAGCTCGAGAGGCAGGGAGGTTACTAGCTGAGTTGGCATGTCAGTTTGACTGCAACAGCTGAACAATCTTGCATGGGGTCAAATGCTAGAAAGATCACCAAACCTTAGGTGCTCACCATCAATCTGGTCAGCCAAAAAAGCTCACACCTCAGGAGGAGAGATACGTGCAATTGATTGTCAAATGGCACTCAAGAATACCCTGGAAAGTGCTGTTAGCAGAGAGCCCTGTTACCATCAGTCAGTATACCCTATGGCGTGCACTCGCCCACTCTTACTGGCACAAATGGCGGGCACAGAAGCGGATTCCTTTGAAGAAGGCAGATGTTACCAAGTGCCTAGCACATGCAAAAAGACTGCAAGGAAAGGACCAAATGCTTGAGGAGGTAGGGCCACTACAATCTAGATCATCAAGTGAGCCAAGCTAACTGTGATTTGCAGGGCACATACTTGGACGAATCTACCATACAAAATGATCCTTCTGCACCTAGCGAATGGCTTTTTCAACTCCCTAGTCAAAGGTATGATGAGGATAAGGTCAATCTACAGGCGCATGTTAAACCAGCTTAGTCCCAGATGGTCTAGGGGTGCATCTGGATAGGTGGCCAGTCTGACTTGTTGATAATACACCGAGACGAGGCTGCTCCACATCAGGGATACTCTTCAAAATCTTATATTCAGACTCTTGAGGAAGGTCTTCTTTCCTGCTACCAGCCTGGAACATTCTTCATACAAGACAATGCCCAGATTCATACTTCTGAGATGACAATAGACTGGTTCTGCTATCATGATATTCAGCTATAATCACACCCACCACACAGTCCAGATTTGAACCCGATCGAGCATGTCTAGAAAGTGATGAAGGCCATCTTATGGAAGCACAACACTGGCTTGTAGATGTTGAAGAAGAATGAGGCTAATTGACTACTATTTGAGAGGGCCCTGAAGGCAGCCTTGTGGGTGGTACCACAATCTTTAATTGATAGGTTGATTAGGTCTATGCTGTGTCGCTTGTGCGCAGTGCATAAGGCACATAGTCACTATACAAAGTATTGAAGAGTAGTTAATTGCAATTAATTTGAAACTAAATTTGTTTAATTTGGGCCTGATTTCGTGAAGAAATGGCTGTTGTTGCACCCATGGTCAAGGTAGGTCAGTATGGAGTGTGGGACAATACTTTTGAGACGTGATTGTAGCAATGATTGTAGCAATGCAGGCCATTGCCGGATGGGGGTAGTCTGGATTACGCTGGGTAATGAACTTACCCATCAAGTTTGACAATGGCCCCTCAATATCTCCTGCGGTGTTTATGGTGCCCGATTTCCCTACATCACGCTAAGATTCTACTAGCAGTATCTTTCTCAGACAGAAAACAGAAGTGGCAGGAATGGATCATCGAATCTGGCATGGTAGCAAAGCAGTTACGCTTAGGAGACAGCAAAATATCCCAGAATAATTCTGCCGCTTTTGTCAACTCATTTAGCCCCGTTGAGTTGATAATCGTTTTGATATCCTGGGTAATTTTTAGCGCACTGTTGGAATTAACTTCGTTAGACTGCTCACCATATATCGTCAAACACACGGAACGTTGGTCAAATATTCGGAACGTTGGTCAAATATTCGGAACGTTGGTCAAACACTTGGAACGTTGGCCAAACATTAGCATCACCGATAGAGCCGCACCATCGATTGAAGTATGTCTCACAAAGATATTATGAGACATTCCCTTTTCTCCTGGCGAGAATGGAATGGAAGAGTTTTCTTTAGCATGTGGTTTTATCATTAGCTCAGATGTCTTTATAAGTCCTGTTTATTTCCGTTTGTCTTTGGTCTTTGTCGGTCGTTAGTCGCTCATCAGTCGCTCATCAGTCGATCATCAGTTCATCCGTCGATTCCCCGTCTGTCGCTATCTATCTGTTATTTATTTCTGTTATCTTTTATTCTTCTGGTTCTTCGCTCTTGTTATTTTAGTGGTATCCAATACACACCCCATCGGTTTACGTCGTTACCTCTGAACCAATTCCGCTGTGTATAAACCTTGTTGTCTAAAACGCACAAGCATATTTTCAAGTCCTGCCACCAGGTAAACTTCCAAACCTGACGATAAGATACTCGCCTTCCTAGTATCGGGTCAACACTAACACTAGTTGCTAAAAATTAGCGAGATGTAGGGAAATTCAGCACTATCAACACTGCTGGGGACACTTAAGCCTATAGTTCATGATATGAATGAAGCCGCGATATCGCGTTGACGTGAGATTTGGGGATGTGCTATGAGCAGATAGCTCATGAGCCCGGCCTTCCACCATCAACAATTTGAAGTGTTGTCAAGGGATACCAAACTCGAGGCCACATACATGATGCACACAAACAGGACGACCTTCCCAGAGATCATACTAAATGGTAGCTTCGAAATATACTAGTATTTGGGTTTCTTGTATAGTAGACATCCAACAAGTCACTAGCAATGAAGGCGTTATTGTAAAATATAAAATTCAGTCATTCCATACCCGGCAATCTCTTGTATTGCTACTTTCGTTGCCGCCAAGACCCTGTTACAGTATGATACCTCTCTTTCCGCAAAGACTTTGTGGACGGGGGTGTACAGCCAGCATGAGAGGTATTCTCATTCGACTAAACGGGCGCCTCATGGGGCGTCGTTCTACCTCAACATATCATAACATACCCCGGTTCGGCGCCCAATTGGAACTTGTAGGGGAAAATAATTCTGAAGTTGCAGACGCCAGTACGTCAGTACCATGAATGGAACATGGGTCGCATCGGAAGTTGTATTTCCCCAACGAACTGTACTAACCACTAGACTACACCAATTTCAATGGGAGAGCGAAATTTAGTTTTACTCAGGGCCTGTTTGGTTCATGGATTTTTTCAATGGATTGCGCCCGTTGCAACGTAAAAACCTGAGTTGACCCCCAGTCCATGGATTGTGGAAAATAAGAGCGTTTGGTTGTGCAATCCATGGAATTTTTATCCCTGCAATTATCCCTGCAATCTATGGAAAAAATAATCACCTCCGGAGTTAATTTTCACATGGATTCAGAGGACTGGAGTGCAACACCCCAATTACCCACTTTCAAATCTTCTGTTGCATGCAACAGGACTCCCTTTAACCTGTCATTGCAACCAAAAATCCTCCAACAATCCAACTTTACTAAGCGCCCTCAGGAAAAGGAATCCATGGATTGAGAGTCTATGGGAAAAACCACGAAAATTCCATAGAATCTCAATCTATGGATCGGTTGCAACAAGTGAACCAAACAGGCCCTTACATTAATTCGGCAGTGTTGCACACGGTCGGGGATATAAACGCGATTGCTACTGTAGGCTGAGCCATAGCGCGACCCAAATCCAGATCGGGGTTTGTGGATAACCATTAGGGGTTCTCACACCGCCGGTTCAGACCTGGGATTTGTACCGTGGCTCATTGCATCACGGTGTGAGGTCTCTTGGTTCATGATATAAATTCGTTGCTGGTTTGAAAAAATATGTAGCCAAGAGACTAATGCCGGAAAGAGAAAGACGGGGCTGTTAGTTGAAGACCCAGAGTGAAGGATGCTTTTAGCTTGCAAGATTTTCACCACTACCGTAGTCATTGCACTTTTTTTGTTTTATAGATCTCCACACGTTATCAACTCTTTCTAAATTACCGAAACATCCTGTGTACCACCTCCAGAGCCGGTACTGGTACCGCGGCTCACTTTTCGAGTTCGCGGTTCATGAACCGCGAACCGCCTGTTTGAACCGCGCTGAACCGGTGGTGTGAGACTCCCTATTGTGTCTGCGCTAAGCCAAATAGCATCTCTTTCTCCTGTTGCTCACAGATTGCGTAATTCCCTTAGGTGGCTCGCGAAAAATAATGCGAGGTTGCCGGTTTGGTCTTGTGTCTTTCTATTATATCCGTTTCCAAGCTAGTTGTGTAATATTACAGAGTGAGTGGTCGTGATGTCCGACCGACACCAACTCGGTTGGCCAATATTTTCTCTTTTCTTTTCATTTGATGGGAATGCCGATACCGGCGTACCGTTATGCACGCTATTCCCAGCGATACACGCGCTCCCCGCCATTGGGAAATGATAGTGGAAAGAGCCTTAGATAGGGTGGCCGTCACTTTTGGTTGGCCGCTAACTTAAGTTAGTCTAGAAATATTATACAAAATCTGTAAAGAAGAATTAAAAGAGTACACAATAAAAAAATAAAAAAAGTAAAGTGCTTACAACTTCATGCTCAAGGTTCAAGGTTTGCTCTTGCACGTGGACAATAAATATTTATTGCACGTGTCAAGAGACGGGAATTAACTCGCTGATGTGAACCATGGATAAGTATAAGGTGGCGGAGGTGTGGCTTTCGATCCATTAAGTCCTCTGGAAGATGTTGGAGTGGACGTTGCTATGGAGGACAACTGTCCTATTCCCTTCCCAGGAACAGAGTGCAGCAGGTTTTTTGTATTTGTTATCATTCAGTACCGGAGTTCATTTGGAAAAATGTAAAACTTTCCTATCAAGGGTATTCAAACTTCAATTGCTTTCGACACAAAGAGGGGGTAGTAGATGAGGGGGTAGTAGTGGACGAGGACGATGCTGGATATGGATCTGTACCGTCAAGGATGAAGGTCAGTCCTTTTCCGACAATAAGAATCAGCATATCCCTAGCCCAGCGTTCATATTTCGTGTCAATCAATAGTTCAATAACTATTTTCACGTTAATCCCATTTGATTCAAGGCTTGTAGTTTCCATTCTGAGCTTCGATTGTATGGCTTCTAAATCAATTGTGCTTTTTTTGAACGGAGGCTCATAACCTATTGAAACTTGGATCGCGGAAAAAAATATTATTAGTATCATACGGTAAACAGGAAATCAATCGCATAACCACAATTTAACTATGATTCCGGTGAACACAATGATACATATGATATCAAATCCAGCCTATCGAATACCTTCTTTAGTATCCTACCCGTTTCTTACTCAACCCAAAAACATTATAACTGAACAAAGAACAAAGAAAAACATATATACAAGTGTCTTCCCAACATCTCCGCACTTGTCCAGACTTCTCTCCACACTTCCCTACTTGTCCGGAACCTTCAACGATGCCAGACAACAATCCTCAAACTTCCTTAATCACAACCAGTGATCCACCAACTTCCAACAACCTCTGGAAACTTACTAACAAGTTCCACCTCGTATCAAGTAGCCTCCGGAATGTTCCAACAACAGGTCATGCAGGAAGGTTCATGTGAGGTTTCACAAAATTTAGTGCATTGCTCCAGTCTGAAGAAAAACAATTAGATTAGTAGATATCTTGTAGGAATTTATTTATCTTTACCTGCAGGATCGTCTTGACAATCCTCTTCCACCTCCTCACATAACCTTTCAAAATTGCCAGGCATATCAAGATCACTCGGGTTTATTCTAAAAGGTTGGTCGGTGATGGTTGAAAGAAGAGAGAAAGAAAGCATGTAAAGAACTTTGATTGCGACAGTCACCCCTTTTTTGCCCCCCTTTCCTTTTAGAGTTCCTTGACACCAGCGGTGCAGGCTCCCTTGATCACCCTCCACTTCACAAATTGTGAATGATCCCTATCCCACAAACCACCCATCTCCAATAGCCGTCGATTCACCATTCCCAGCACACCCTCAAAATTACCGCATTGTTGATAATTTCTTATTCAGCAAGTTTACCTATCGAGCAAGTGTTTGCCAAGCGATAGCTTTTGCACCCTCAAGGTCACTATTCCTATCTCCCACTGTTGGAATCCGTGTTGGCTCTCTCCTATTCTTCTAGTATCTGGTGTCACAAGTGATACTCTGTGACTGCTTACCTCATCCTGTTGGATATAAGCCTATAGCATATCTATGATGGGCACCGCTTCTTTCCACTCCTTTTCGCTTCTTCTCCTTCTCTTTTTCTCTTCTGTTCCTCCCCTGTCTGGTTGATGATAAACAGCTTAACGTCAACTCAACATCTCCCACGTCAGTTATGGTATCGCCCAGTACACCATCACCCTAAGGGCGGCCCAAAAATGGATATTGAAGGAGGTGCGCGTTGAGAATGAACCTTTGTGTGTTGCATATATGGAGTATCTTCAAACCCTGGAACCGGGAGTCACCCCACCCCAATAAGAGACTTCCTCCCCTGTCAGGGAAACAGTCCCGCGATCGCTTTATAAATGTTTCTTCTTCCCGGCCATCCAAGGTTCCTTCCTCCATCCTCCAACCACACCGCTCGCGAAGAGGTCTGCACCAGGAGGACACTTCACTTTCCAATATCTTCCCTGCATCTTACACACTCACAATAATTCTTTTTCTTTTGTCACATCGGTACTTCTCCATTTGGTTTTCAAGGGTTACTCCTCCCTGTTTAATCTTTTTAAAAGGCTAATGTTTCTTTTCCGGAGAAAGATTTTTCCCTCTGAGTCCTCGACACCGCAACTCCTTGAAGTTAGGGTCTTAAGCCTCAATCTTTATTCTTGCTTTCTTCTGGACTCTTCTCCCACCGCAATCACCACCGCAACAACCATGGTATCAAAACCTTTAACAAGAGAACTGGTTTGCCACTAAATACTACAAGTGTTCACCACCCCAGGTAGGCTTGTTTGTTAACCATTTATAGCCATGCCTGACAGAAACCATGATGGTGAAGATCACCCTGGTCTCTCAGGAGACACCTTACCTGGTAAGGCATTTCTGGTTTCAGGCAAAACTATTTTTATGTCCGGATGCTAATTTTCTGATGTTATTGCTGAAGATCTTTCTCCGCAGGAGGGTGGGGTTACACCTTCTCGGACAACATCTGCATGTGATAATTTGTCGAACAATCTTACCTTTCACCCTCGTGCTGTGCATAGTGATGGAGGCGCTGGGTTGGTCTCAACAGGAAGATGCGGTTGTCCAGATGTCACTGGAGAAGCAGTCAAATAGTCAGCTTCTGGCACTGAAACCAGTGCCAGAGTCCCGCTGGTCGAGGTGAAGAGAGAGTTTGTCAAAGCATCTGCCTCCTCGGTGGTTGATGAGGATATGCTTGTTGCTATATTTTTCAACTGGTTTACGAGGTAAAAATGGAACTTGAAATGGTATCACAATGAGTTTGAATTTACACAATTTCTATCGGTCTATAACTAATTCATTTCTGCAAGTTGTCGTGAACTGGCCTTGATTAATCTTGTGTCCCCAGAGGAAGTTGTTTGCTTGGGATATAAGTTCAACGCATTAATACCAATCTAGAGCCCAAGGAGAGGTTCTGGGATAACAAACACTGTGTATGAGTTGATGAACGATTCTAAAACGGTGGATTGAGCACCAAAATCCGAATTTGGGGGCAGCTTCGACTGTCTGAATGATCTTTCCGACGTGGCTGCCCTCCAGCCGGAATTGGTGTCAAGATATCTTATACCAGCAATCCTAGGATCTTGTGTAAAAGAAAATACTCCTGAGAGCTGGTAAAATACCTGCTACCGAACATCTCTTACGTATTCTTGCATTGTTGAAGAAGATCAGTTGATGGATGGCAGGGAGCAACAAATGATGCCCTCGGGATACATATCTCACAACGTTTCTGACGTTATACCGCAACGTCCGACTCCCCACCCTCGAGCAGAGGAGACGATTGGAAAAACAAAGTGTTTTTGCTTGGATAGACGACCTCGTTAACTCCGCAGGTCATATGTTGGAAACCATGACTGCCACCTCTCCTGTGACTGACGATTTGGTTGATCTTTTCACTACTAATTTGTTTGTTAGGAGCTCTCCAAGTGTCCCACCCTTGGCCTTGGCCCAGCAGCTTCCGGCCCACAATTCTAGAGGGATCTCAATTTT